AAAAAAAAAGATGACAGCTTTCTCAAATTCACCCTAGTGAATTAGAATGTCCAAAGAAATAGGCCAAAGTGTGGTATCATCCTGCCATCTGAAAAGATGGTCTGTTACGACCAGGGATGTTTTCATGGATCTGTTTGTCATCCAGTGGCAAATGTTGAACACTGCATTTGAGGGCCAGTAATCCAGGCTTTCAAGAGCACTTTTCCCTTGGCCAGGCTCCCCGCTGCTTCAGTGGTAATAGATGCTGAAGGCGTGGAGAATGTAGACCAGGGTGGTGACAAAGGCAAAGAACTGGGAGAAGACAGGAGAGTCACCGTGTTAGAGATGGGCAGTGTCAGCTCCCACCCGCACCCCTCCGAGGCCCGAGGCCCCTGCAGCCCAGGAGGCTACATGTTCTGACCCTGATTCTTTGTCCCCTGCCTGGCCTGAGGGCAGCAGCCACGGGCCAATACTCCATCCTCCTGGAAACTCTCCACCACAGGCCGTCCCTAGGGCCACACTCCCCTGGTGTCCTGCTCCGACCACACAGTCTCCATCTCATCTGCAGACATCTGTGCCCATGCTGGGCCCTCGGCTCATGCTGTCCTGCCCCAGGCGCTCTCTCCCTGGCCCGCCTTCAGCGTGTGCACCTGCGTGCTCTGAGGACTCCCAGCGTCATAGCTGGCCCAGAACTCCGCTCTGAGCGCCTGTTTGTCCACACCTTATGAATGTCTCAGATGCCCTGCAAGCTCTTAATGGCCCAAACTGAGCTCCTTGCATTTCTCACAAGCCCCAAAAGCTCCGTCGGCCCCAGGATCCTCATCTCATCCTGCTACCCAAGCCAGAAACCTGCAACCCTCCAACTCCCTGCTCCCCACTGCCTCGTCCAAAGCCATCCCCAAAGTGTACTGACTTTACTGCCTGACTGTCCCTGGGTACATCCCTTTCTCCCTTGTCTCAGACACCATGATCCCTCGCCAGGACATCTGATGGCGTTTGGATGTGTTGTCCCCTCCAAAACTCATGTGGAAATTTGATCCCCAATGTGGCAGTGTTGGAAACTGATTGAGTCATGGGGGCGGATCCCTCATGAATGGATTAATGCTCTCCCTGGGGGAGGGGGGATTAATGAGAGAGTTCTCGCTCTATTAGTTCTCACATGGGGGCGGATCCCTCATGAATGGATTAATTCTCTCCCTGGGGGAGGGGGGATTAATGAGAGAGTTCTCGCTCTATTAGTTCTCATGAGACCTGATTGTTTAAAGGACCCCGGCACCTCCTCTCTCTCTCTCTCTTGCTTCCTGTCACCATGTGGTCTGCTTGTGCCCGCCGGCTCCCTGCCACTTTCCACCACGAGTAGAAGTAGCCTGAGGCCTGTGCCAGATGCAGCTGTCCCAGAATCGTGAGCCAAATAAACCTCTTTCC